ATACACTTGAAAAAGAACTGAGTGACTTCAAGGAGAAGTGTGAAAACTGGACCACACAAGATGCATTGAAGCAGAAACAATTGGATGATTTGCTGGAAAAGAAACGCAGTCTGGAAGGACAATTGAATAACTTGCAAATTGCGCTGTCCGACAAGGTTCAAGATTTTCCCATATGTCATCTATATACTCTCTACATTTCTACAACATTCTTTTTTTTGAAGGGGTAAAACTTATTGAATTATGTTTTGCATTTTACAGGAAGACATAGTGAAAGCGAAAGATCGGGAAATTCGTCATGTTACGGAGAAGCTGAATGAGAAAAAGGATGAAATCAACAAATTCGAAACAGATCGCCACTCACTTGAGGTACTTACATTCTTGTGATTTTTCGTGCCGACATATTTTATTACTTGAAAATTTCGTCGTTTTCAACAGGAAGAGCTGAGTAAGTTGAAGCAGTCTGAAGCTCGGCTGGAAAAAGAGAGACGCAACCTGATGGAATCCCTGGAAAATGCAACTGGACGAAGTACACGTGTGGAAGTTTCCAAAAGAGCCCTTGAAGGCGATGTTCAACGCTTGCAAAAAGCCTTGAATGACAAAGAAAGTGAAAACCAGGTTGGAAGAATTTATTTCTCTCTCGCTTTGTGAAGGCTAACTAATTTCTTAAACCAATCTTCTTTTTCTCAGCACTTGAAAGACAAATGCGATTCAATGAATCAGAAGGTTCAGCAGGCGGAAGAAAAATGCTCTGCAATGTCTCTGGTCATCGACAAAATGAATTCTAGTCTTGAAAATGCTGTGTCCGGAGAATCGCAGTTGAAAGAAAAGCTTGAAAATCTCAACAAGGAAGTCAATCAATCTTCGCAAGGTAGCCAAGGTCTCCAGGAACGTGTCGCACAGGTATTCATCATTTCGAACAATATCACCTAATTCGATCTTGAAATATTTTTCTGAATAAATCGTAAAAGTAGCCTTTTTGTGCCGCAATGAACCTTCAAAAATATTCGTCGCAATTTATTTTTATTCTTTGAAGATGCAACAGAAACTTGCCGAGGTTGAAGGCGAAAACAAGCTTCTCCAGGAAAGAGGAAACTCTTCGAAGCAGACGATTTCTGATCTGAGACGAACTAATGATGACCTCAACCGAAAAATCATTGATCTCCAGCAAGAGCTCAATCGTTTACAACTTAATCATGTTCAGGCTGATATGCAATGGAAATCTTCCGAAAAGGTGACATTCAATATATATATATATGCCTGATGTTGAACAGTTGCAGACAATTTCTTTTTCAGGCGCTGAATGAATATAGAGGGAAAGAATCGACGCTCGAAGAACGGCTTCGTCATGCGCTGCAAGAGAAAGTTGAATTAATCGAGCAAATCAACATGCTTCAGGTAAAAGAAAAAAGTTCACATTTCAAACCCTTTCATTCTTCCTCAGTATTAAAGAGAATACCGCATGGATTTCGTTGTTTGCTCTATATACTAACAAACTTAATGCCTAGATTTCGTCTTTCTTTTCTTGCATGCTGTTCTGGCGTGTGAATTACCAAAATCGTTTATGGCGCAGAGGAAAATTGCCCAAAGTGAACAGGAGAAGAAGGAAGTTGAGAGATCGCAGATTCGGTTGACCAAAGACAAGACTGCATTGAGATCCATGATTGACAAGGTGAAATGCATATAATCTTACAGCAATGATCATTAATTATGCCCTGGTTTCGCATTTTTTGCCAATCTTCTGCGAGTGCCTGCATGTTTGAATTTTTTGAATATTTCAAAGCGGCTTTTTCTTTTGTGAATTATCCGACGCAAATGATAATTTTTTTCAAGATGGAAAGAGAGCGACTGGCAACTGAAGAACAATCCAGGGCTGTCAACACAGAGAGGGCTGCTATTGGGCATAATCTTAGTGCTCTGGAGCAAGAAAACAATGACCTCAGAAGACGCGTTCAAGCTCTGGATCATCAGATTTCTCAGATGGAGCAAGAACATGCGCAACGACTCATGGACATCGCTTCGAAGCATCGCCAAGTAATTGTTTCATCATTTTCGTTTTAGACGAGTTTCTTGAAGAAAGCATTTCTTCAAATTTCAGGAAAGTCAATCTGAACTGGATCGAGTCAAAGTTATACAGCAGCAAGCGGAAAAGGTTTTGCAGGCTAGAGAGAGGACGTATAAGCAGAGGATCAAGGGATTGGAGGATCAGGTGAGTCATCGTTCTCGCGCATCTTTTTTCCCGAAGAGTTCGCTCATAATTTCTTGTGCTTCCTCGGAATCTGGTCGGGTGGCTGAAGGTGGACAGAATGTTTACAGATTGATAAAATGATAATTTTTGACGTACATATTTTTTTCTATAGGCCATAAGAATTTAATTTTTACCTTTGCAGAACATCCTCAAATTAGGCCTAATTTTTTCCAACTGTTTTCAACAGGTACAAATGTTGAAAGACCAGCTGAACGCCGAAATAAAGAAGCGCCAGCTTTACATCCTGCGAACCGCAAAGGCGGGAGAAGAAATACGTGAAATCCGCCAGTCCCTGGACGAAAGTCTGAGAACGGTGTCCCGAGATCCGACTTTGGATGCTCTACTTTTGGAACAAGAAGCTCGGAAACTTGACTCATCCTTGGGCCATCATCTGTCAAGGTAGGTTTGAATGGTAATCAAGTAAAGGAATTTTCAAGGGAAATGTTATACAGTATTCGAACTAACCACCCGATCCATATACTATATCTCCACGATTTGATCGAATGTGGAAGGTTGAAAACAGTCAGGATTTCAATTCCCTTCTCCGTATTCCCTTATATCGGGGGAGTTTTTTAGCCCGGGCAGCATATGCGGGCCAGATACTGCCGAGCATATGGCCCGCGTGGGCCACATTCGCCTGTGGCGTACGAGCCACGAAGAACAAAAATCGTGGCTGAAAATCAAAAGTTAATTGAAGGAAACACCTGTCGGGAACACGACAGAGGGCTTTTCGGTAAAAGCCCTGAATTAAAAAAGATGACTTTATTCGGAGTTGAATTCAATTGGAATCAAGAATCGATTGAAAACAAATAATGACTTACGAGAGTGTCGACAAAGTGAATAAATCAAATTCATAAAATAGCACACGAGAATTCACAGGATAGAGAACAACCGAACGCGATGGGTTCTGTACGACGACTGTATCGAACTGAGTTAGAAAATTCCAAGGAATTTCCCATCAGCGATACAAGAACGAAAATGTATTAACTTATTTGATTAAACTAGTTTTTTGGAATGTGGGTTTTGCGTGTGCGCGCACGGCCTTCCGGTGCCTTACACGGCCTTCCGACACTCTTCATCTGCCCCGCGGTCCCTTTCGCACAATCTTTAAGGTGGCAGCCACCACGCTTCAAAATACTACTGTACTCAAAAAGTATTATTCACGGATGAATTTAAAAATTCATAATGCTCCACACTTCAAAAATTCTACACGGTTGTATGCTTGTGATTCAATGCGTAGCACTGAACTAAATTTGAAGTTTTTCATTTAGAAGGGAAAAATTTGGAACCTCAAAAATCATTGTCTACTATTATGGCCCGCAAGAACTCTCCACCTCAGGTAAGGTGGCTCTTTTGGCCACAAAAACTGGAATTGGCCCTTGGCCAAACCTGAGTTTAGCAGCACTGTTTTACGAAACGTCGAAAACATCTCCGACGTGATCCTCAATGTTTCATGTGTTATTGATTTTGATACCGCATTTAATTTTTCGTAACTATTGAATATCCGGCTGAGTGAAGCGGTCATTATATGCTTGCTCTTGATCATCAGAGTTGTGCTGTCGTTGAGGGGAATTCGGACAAAGTTTGATGCTCTTGATTTCTTCTTCGTGATTGAGAAATTATTTTAATTTTGAATTGAAGGTCTCAGTCCTACTTGGCGTCCCAAATCACGCCATCCAAGCTGTCGCCGCACGGCAGATCGCCGTCCATGAGCCGAGTCCGAACGTCGACGCCGATGTCCGCTTCAGGGCTACAACCGCCAGCCTCGACGAGCACGACTCCTGAAGTTCCTCACAAACGCACGCTGACATTTTCTTGAATCTGAATGCAAGCCGGAATATCAATGAGGAATTTTTCTTTCTGTTTTTAGTTTATGGAAATCCTGATTTGGAAGCAAACTTCTTGATGTGAGTACAGTATGAGACGATTTTCGTCGAATTCTTTTCGCTTGAATGCCAGGTGCTCTTGACTTCGTCGCATAGATGTCGCCTGAATCGTGTTGAATTAGGACTGTGTCTGATGAGTCGGGTTAAGTTATGTACAGTTCTGGGTTATTCCAGGCTGTCTTTGAGTTCGTTTTGTTTACTGCTGATGATTTTAGTCATTCTGGCGAAGAGGGAAACAAGGTCGGGCGTTCAAATGAAAAGAGCTAACTGCTATAGAGAAAGAATTTTGCTCGGTTTCGAAAGAAATTATTTGTTGATGGTCTCTTAATTTTTCCTCAATCTAGTGTTTGGGAAGAAATGATCAACGTTTTGGCATTCCTGATTTTTTCCTGTTCCGTGCGCAAGTAGTCATCTTCCGGAAGCAACATCTATTTGAGCGAAGAAATGTTTTTCCCCTGTAAGACATTCCTACAAGAGGAAGGCATATGTCGTGGCAAACGACGAAATTCCCCGACAAGGATTTCTTTCCGGTATTTTTATGGTTTTGGTCAAGAATTTATTCCTTCGCACTGCCTGGATTGTTGGGCTCACGGTGGTGAAGCGTCGTGAAAAAAGAATTGTTGACGATCTTTGTCTATTTGGAGGAAAAATGAGGCGCTGGATCGCATTCTTGTATCCAGTATTTGTTCCGTGTGTGCGGTTTTGGTGAGATTGACGGAAGAAATGCTTTCGAGAGAGTAAGATCGTAGACAAGTCGCAGGATGTCTAGAGTTTTTCTTTTCCTCTGGGAAGATGCACGGGAATCTTTTTTTTTGACTTCGGTTGACGAATTTTTTGTCGATCAGGCCGTGACACTCTTGCAACGGAATCCATCCTAATGAAAACAAATGCCTTACCAAACGAAACGTCAATCTTGATAAAAGATGAAGGCATTTATTAATTTTTAACCGTAATTTATTTGAGACACGCTGAATTTTCAATGATTTCTTCATCAGTGAATGATTTTGGACGGATGTGTGACTGGAATGGAATTTAGATGAAGGATTTTGGAAAAAGATTTTATTAGCGCTAAATATTCAAAGAAATCGATGATTGATTAAAGAAAAAATTGCGTCTATGTTTTTTTAACATAAAGAAAAAGACCTTCGGTGCCCAGAAAGTGTTCGTGTTTTAGGCGCTTGATGATCTTGTCTGGCATTTACTTTGTTTCGCTCGGGTTCAGCGCAGATCTCATGTTTTGTGTTGAGTTTCTTCCTTTTTTTTTTTGGTTGCTGCAGAATTTGTATTGATCGACGTAGTTTCTAATTTTGCATCGTTTTGTGCGTTTCTGAATGATGTTTTCATGTATTGGGCATTGATACGAGGGAAAGAGTTATCTGCCGTTTCTGTGCAGATCAACTGTTGCCCCTTTTCTGGCCGACTTGTTTTCACGATTTTTGCAATGAGTGATGTTCCCGTGAAACTACTTCTAACTCTGCGGCGACCAGAGTAAGGAGGCAGTTTGAAAAGTCATTGCCGTATTCGTCTGTTCATTTTTCGTGAATTTGTTTCAGAGGGATCTCGTGTTATGATTATATGCTGGGTTGGTTGTCTGCTAAACGAATTGAAGGAAATGTCGAACTGTTGCGCTGGCGATTTTGGTTTTGCTCCGAATGAATTAAATGCATCTGGTGCGGAAAAAAATCAGAGGAATAAAAATTTTAAAATGGAATTTGACAGGTTTGAATTCGTAGATATTATGTCCGGGTTTCTTTATCACGATGATGTGTTTTTTTTTTGGAGTTCGAAAACGCGATGAGAAATATTTCGATGTCCAATTCTGGCATTTGGCGTCGCGCTGTTCACGTACAATGAAATGGTTTGACGAAAGAGAGAAAAATGCAGTCATTGAATCGGTTTTTTGTGAGTTTCTTTCAAAAACCTTGGTAAAATTCAGGCTTTTTGCTGATTTATACAAACATTTGTAAAATGATCTCCATATTCCTGACATATATGCTAAAAAAAATCATGAGGCCTTATAATTTTTCCTTGACTTTTTCTCCAGGTCTTCTATATCCATTAGACTTTCCTCGGATTCCTGGGTGCTTTGGCAATGTGCTTTACGTAATTTATTTTTCTCAATTTTCGAAAAGATGGGAGTTTTTGCAGTAATACATGATGATAATTATAACAAGATGGAGGAGTATGTAATTCATGGTAATAATTGAGGCACAAATGCTTGCAATGTATAATTCGTTTCTTGCTGCAGTATGTCGTGTATGAGAGTCTTGAGTTCACACAATTTTCAATATTGCCATCTTTCCAGCGCACACATTTCTTTGAATTGAAATTGAGGGGAAAAAAGGGTGTGCGTCACAAACGGGGGTTGTTTCAAAAGTCTTGCGACTATTTCAAATAGATCCAAGACGGTTTCGTAAATTAAATTTTTTTTTTTTACTTATCACATAACCTTGTCGCGCGGTAACATTTCAGTGGTGTTCAACATAATCTCAGCCGATTCCAATGCACTTTTTCATGCATAAATCGAACAGTGGTGAAAATCAAGTTCAGTCTGAACTTGATTTTTGCCACTGTTGGACTTTTTGCATGAAAAAGTGCATCGAAATTGGCGGAGAGTAAGTTGTGCAGCACTTGAAGTGTTGCCGCGTGAAAAGGTTATGTGAGTTTTAAAAATTAAATTAACCAAACCGTGTTGGATCTATCGATTTCACCATATTACACGGAAAAATTTGAATTGAATGGATCAAAATTCAATTTCATTCAAAATGTAACTTTTGAATGTGCTTTACACATGTACAGTATTTAAAAAATACCTGTATTTGGGGATACCTTACATTTTTGAATCAAAATTTTAGGATGAGGAGCATGCAAGGTACAATTGAAAATGAATTTGATTAAGTTTCCATTCATGTCAACATTTTAAATGCAGAATGCTGTGTTTTATTTTGAACATGATTGAAATTCTCACGTCTGCAGAAAAGTGGGTTGAGCGTTATACTGTACAACTTACTCTTGGGATATACATTTTAAAGAAAATGTTAGCATGAGAAAACTAATAAACTATAGATAAATTTCGTACTCTATATATAGAGGTCCCATGGCAGCCAAGTAAACCCTCTCTCTTTCTGTCTTTCTCTGGCTTTCTATCTTTCAGTTTTTCGTTTTTCCTTTCAATAATGAGAAGCCCGTTCCCGAAGATCCTGTTCCCAAATGCTTCAACAATTCATCTCCTCCCATTCGACACGGATTGACGCATGTTATTCTCGCGCAAGCAGGAGCAGCGCCGGTTACGGTTTGACAAGCGAATTGATGCGTCTCGGACACGCGCGCGGCCACTTGAGTCAAGATTCCAGAGGAACCATGATTGTCTCAACGATTCGTCACAGTTCGCCAACAGCTTCCTTCCTTTGCCTGATGTCGTATAAATGTGGGGTTAAGCACGTCTTCTCAAAAAAAGGGCAACCCGAGGAAAGAAAATAGAGCCATTAATCTCATATTCTGTTGCTCCGCGATGCTGGTAAAAATTCGAGGGATATTCAACAGCATGTTCCTGAGGTCTTCTTACGAAGTTGTATACATAAGGTATGTCTATTTAATTTTAAACTTGGTGAGCGTCAGTGGAAATTAATTTTTCTTTCTTTACCTGCTGATTAAGAATTATAATCTGGGGTTAGGCACCTTTCTTGAAAAAGGAACCCGATGGAAGAAAATGAAGCCATTAATCTCATAGTCCGTCGCACCGATTCTTGCAAAAATTCGGGGGGAATTCAACAGCTTGTCCGTGAGGCTTTTTTTATGCATTTGCGTACTGGTGAATATAATGTACGCATATACGAGATATTCTATTTTAAACTTGCTTAGAATCAGTATAGGTTTAGAAAATAGTTTTGTTTTCTTTGCCCTTGGGAAAGCCAAGTATTAGCAGTATTTTGTCTCAATAACTAGGGTATGTCGATCATTTTGTTTCCCGACAACAACCACACGTTTCCCGAGAGAAAATCACATTTGATCGCAAATTTCCATCTCTTAGTTTTCTTCATTTAATCTAACTTTCATTTTCTTTCAAAATGCTAGAGCAGTATAGCGGAGCCCAATATAAAAGTGCTCCGACGCGGAGCAACAGCGAAATATACACATCCAATCATTTAAAAAAAATAGAAAATAGGTCGAGCGAATTTACTGCAGGAGTTTCACGAGTACTGTAATTAAAGTCAACTCAATATTATGAGGGAAAAGGGGGTTTTCAGTGGTAAACAATAATAAAAAGAGCGACGAAAAATCCCATATTCTGTAAATCGTGGAGTTTTCTACTGTTCATATTTTCTTTAACGACGCCGTCATTCTGATGGTTGATGAAATTTTTGAGAGTAGCGGAAAAAATGTGATTCATATTTTTCATGTTGAATATCCCATATTCTGTAAATCGTGGAGTTTTCTACTGTTCATATTTTCTTTAACGACGCCGTCATTCTGATGGTTGATGAAATTTTTGAGAGTAGCGGAAAAAATGTGATTCATATTTTTCATGTTGAAATTTCGTGGAAAGCAGTTTGAAGAATATCCAAGAAATAAATATAGTTTAAAACCAAACGAATAATGGTAGCCTCACTGATTTTCCGAGACTTCTCTGACGATGAATAGCACTTTCTTTTATTTTTAGAAGCACTATTTTATTTTCTGATATGCACGAAAAACCATCACATGTGGATTTCTACGAGCTTCTGACCGTCAATGGTGCACATTTTTCACGATTGCAGCACATATAAAATTTAGAACCTTCAGATTGAAAAATGGGGGCTGGAACTTTCAGAAAGAGAGGAAAACGATAATATAAATACCCAGCCGCGATCAATTCCTTCATCAGTTTTGATACGCCCATGAGTTTCTGTATGAGAAGAAAGGGGAAATAAGATTTTTGAATATATAAAGCCCCTGCATTATTTCATTTCTCTTCCGTACACATCTCTGCGTGAGACGAAATCATTGACATGCTGTGTTAGTATCACCGAACCCTGTCATCACAGCCCATATATGTATTGGTTGGTCCTCGTGAATAAAACCCAAAGCCCAGCAGGTATACGAACAGAAACAATTACCTTTGTTAAAACCGAAACCAGTGCCACAATCAGGGCAGAGGCAAGAACAAGCTTCCGACTCAATGATTAGGGCTCCTGATGGTGTGTTGACTGCTTGCTGTGAAAAATAATTAGCGGCATTGTTCGTGATGTGTAATTTTCTCCAGGCGATTTTCTGCACGAAACCTCTTCATTCTGCGTTGGAAACCTCAACGATTTCAGCATAATTATCTTTATAAAATGGGTATTGAAATTGATCGCTGCTTTGAATTATAAACCACTCATCAAGGGAATTGCTAGTGCATTTGCTGTTGGTTCAACAAGGACGGAAAGATTTCAATATTCAAGAATTAATTTGAGTACACTCGAATACGAAATTCTCAGAATCTCGAATAATGTAAGAAATATTCTTCGCTCGCAGTCAACATTTTCGAGAGAAAGTTTGAAAATGCACATTTAATCTAATTTTCAAATGCGCTTCGTCATTATGAAAATAATTTATTCGCGGACAATTTTCAATTCATATTTTATTTGAATATATACTTCGACTTCTGATTTCGAGAGACTCTCATTTTTTTCGATTCGTAATGCTTCCTTTTTTCGGGTTTTATAAACTTTATAAATATTTTAATCAGAGCGAGGAAATTTAAATTAAATTGTGAAGACGGTTAAGTTCGTTTTTTCCTTTTGTGTGAAAAAATTCTGAACTTTTCACCTCTTAATAACTGGTTCATTTTCCATGGTTCGTATTATAAGTAATGAACTATTTTTTCCCTTTGCGCGTGACCAAAGGATGTTTAAAAAAATTTTTTTTTTGGTTCTACATCACTTGAAAGCGTGGAGAAATTTTTCTTGAGAACTTCTAGGACACGATTTACTCATAGCGTCTAAAAAATAACTTTAATGTTCATGTTCGACGCCATTTTCGTTGGAATTTTTGAAAATTGAAACCGTTAAACAGCTGAAAAATGCCAAGTTTTCTGCCGAACGTTTTTCTTTCATCGATTGGCATTTTTAGACAAAGAAAATGTTGATCGTTTTGGAAAATCCATCCGCAAAAATCTGGCATCAGAATACTGTACAAAAAAACAATTAATAAACCCCTTTGAATTATCTTGTTTTCAATGATCGTTGAACTTCATAATTTTGAATTTGATGACAAAAACCGAAATAGGAATATATTTATATACGGTAAATATCTGTGTTGGATTTTCAAATATTTTTCGTGGTCATTCAATAACTACTGTATAATGAGAATCAGGAATTATTTAGAAAATGACATGCGAGTATGCAACTATACAAGAAATTTCTCGTCAGAAAGTTTCATTCTTTCTCCTCTAAACTTGAACTAACTTAAAGTCTCGCTAATTTGCTCAAGAAGTTTAAAAACACTAATGAAAAAATTAACCGACTTCTACAGCAGTATAGTGAGGTCTTTAACAATGAAGAAATCGTGTGGCAACTTTTCCGAAAGATTAACTTATTTATGTCAGCGGCTACGGTTTGTGTATGCAGTATTGTTTTTTATTGTTCTACCATGTTGATAGTTTCTATCTGGCAATAAACAGCCCATTTATGATGCTCGATATTCCTCTATACGAACTATAAGGACGTTTATATACAAACCTCAAGTATCCGTTTCGAAGAACAAAGGCAGATACAAAACAGATCATATTTCTAGATGATTATACATGATGAAATCTTGTATGCTCGATATTCCTCTATACGAACTATAAGGACGTTTATATACAAACCTCAAGTATCCGTTTCGAAGAACAAAGGCAGATACAAAACAGATCATATTTCTAGATGATTATACATG